TAATTCATCTTCCTTCAAGCAAACATTAGAATGAAAGTTCTAATCATCACCCCCTCTCAATGCAAGATGATCTGTACACCATAAATGACAGCCAACTATCAGAGCAACCCAAATAGCAAATGGTGTATCTTGGGTGGCAGTGAGTTCCCCACGCACTGGAGGCATGCACGCCAGAGCCAGTTGACTTTCTGGATTTATAGGGCTACTAGCTAGATCTGTAGGGAGAATTAGAGAGAGCAATGAGCCGCTGCCTCCAGCTCTGCCACTAATGAACCTCAGAGCCCTGGGCAAGTTATTTCCTCCTTCAACCTGTTTCCTACCCATGAAAAGAGATTATCATTCCGTGATTTCAGTGAACCAGCGTAACTGAAAGTGATTCTTATATTGTAAAGAATTATTTAAAAGCAAATCCCTGGTGAGCTCTAAGATTCTTTTTTACTCTGAAATTCCTTAATTTATTATAATCTTTTGAATAACTGAGGTAGGCAGGACAAGAATTACCATCCTTGGTTTTCAAATTAAAAAAACAACAACAGGACGGTAGAGGTAGGCAGGGGAAGTTGTCTAAGGAGAAAGCAGCTGTAAAATGGCTGATCTGAGAGAGTGTAACCGAGAACTTGGAACTTTTAAGTCCTGGCCTGAACTTTCTGCTCCAACAGGTTGCCCTTTTCAATTGTAAACCCAGCAAGTGAACAAGTTGCTCCTTTAAATGCTTTTGAAAGTGTTAAGGACTCAGTCACTCACATCTTAGTGTGTGTTGGTATGATCAGACTGCTGTTCCTCCTCAAACTAGGGTGAGGGGAGCCACACTGAAGGGATTTTGAGCGAAGTGCCTAGACTAAGGGCCTGTGCACGCTGGCGTGTGATGAGCCCAACCTGGATCTGAATGTGGTCATCACTGGGTGTCCAGAAGCAGGAGCACAGTTCTGGCTCTGGTCTCTAATGCTGAAAGTGGACGTCTGCTACCCTCATGTTGAGCATTCATTCAGCAAATTTGTATTAAGCCTCGTCTATGCACCAGGCTTCCAGGCATTTGAGATACATTAATGAACGAAAAGACAATACTAAGTGTCGGGATGTGGAGCACCAAGAATTTATACGTTACAGGTAAAAGTGTGAAAACAACTGTTTTTTGGAAAACTGTTGGGCAACATATACTAAAGTTAAACACGTGCCTGTCCTCTGACCCAGCAATTCCACTCCAAGATCTGTGCCCAATAGAAATGAGTCATGCTCCCACCCAAAGATGTATACAAGAATGTTCTTAGTAGCTTTATAGCCCTATTAGCCACCGCCTCCATCACCACTGCCAGTTTTTCTACCTCCATCTTTGTCATCACCGCTGCCACCACCACCACCATCACCCCATCACCATCATCACCAGAACGACCATCACCAACAGCTACACAAGCAGTAGGGCCCATAATTATTAGTCACTGCAACCACCAGCTCCACCACCATCATCCCTGTTACCGATGTGTGTAGCCTGTATTTATTCCCTGAGAAAATTCAAGATGCACTACCTGGGCCCCAAGCCTCACATTGACCCTGGTGCTGCCTGTTCCCACAGCTGGAACTGAGTCCTTCTGTGTCCTCCTCCCCCTTTTCACCCTGCTTTAAGCCTGTCCTCTACTTCCAGACTGCACCTTTTCCTTGGGAGCAGTGGGACTCCTGTGTTTGAGGGACAGATAGAGAGAAGGCATGCAGAAAATCTAAAATTCGGAGAATTTTAGAAACCAGCTGGACCCTGCAGTCCAAGACCACCCCCAAGAAAAAGAAATGCAAAAAGGCAAAATGGTTGTCTGATGAGGCCTTACAAATAGCTGAGAAAAGAAGAGAAGCTCAGGCAAAGGAGAAAAGGAAAGATATACCCATTTGAATGCAGAGTTCCAAAGAATAGCGAGGAGAGATAGGAAAGCCTTCCTCAGTGATCAGTGCAAAGAAATACAGGAAAGCAATAGAACGGGAAAGACCAGAGATCTCTTGAAGAAAATTAGAGATACCAAGGGAACATTTCATGCAAGATGGGCATAATAAAGGACAGAAATGGTATGGACCTAACAGAATCAGAAGATATTAAGAAGAGGTGGCAAGAATACACAGAACTATACAAAAAAGATCTTCATGACCCAGATAACCATGGTGGTGTGATCACTCACCTAGAGCCAGACATCCTGGAATGCGAAGTCAAGTGGGCCGTAGGAAGGATCACTATGAACAAAGCTAGTGGAGGTGATGGAATTCCAGTTGAGCTATTTGAAATCTGAAAAGATGATGCTGTGAAAGTGCTGCACTCAATATGCCAGCAAATTTGGAAAACTCAGCAGTGGCCACAGGACTGGAAAAGGTCAGT